TATTTTATCTGAAATTTTTCATTCAAATTACATTTAAAAATTGGCATTATGTACTTCCAATAAATTTTGTTTCCTTCTCCATACTTTCTTAAGGTCAAGTCAAAATATATCCCATTGTTAACTGAATTCATTCAAATTAGACTTTGTTGGGCTGGGGATTTAGCTCAGTGGTACCACCACTTGCCTCTCAAGCACAAGGTCCTGAGTTCGAACCCCAGTACCAAAAAAAAAAAATTAGACTTTGTCATAGGACCATTAGATTGAAGCTTAAGAGTATTTTCTTATTCAACAACAAAAAAAATCTTGGAAGCAAATACTTTATTCAGATTGAATCAGTCTTACTAATTGGGTGATTTGGAGAGGGCAGTAGTGGATATCAAACCCAGCCAGGGCTTTGCACGTGCTAGGCAGGCACTCTGTCACTGAGCTAAATCCTGTTTTAATTAGGTGATAGGTGATTCTTACAGATAATAATATTTGAAGTGATTCAGGTCCTATTTTGAAATAACAGTTTATTCTGCTTATACAAATGGTATATAAATATTTGTAAACTAGATAGAAGATTAGATATTAGATATGCTAATCATAAAATAGATAATTAAACTATGGTTACATTTAAATATTGAAAACATGTAGGATCCAATAGTTTTAAATAATAAATTATATTACCTTGCACATTGCACTTTATAAAAACTAATCATTCCCAAATGATGCTGAAGCAACTGTGGCAGGGAATTGAAATTTAGTCATATGAAGTCTTCTTGGTTTTTTGACCTACTTGAAACTAGTGACCATGTGGTTAAAAACCTGAGTTAGAGACGTATTGTTTACACAGACTGTTTATCCTAAAATAACATTTGTAAGTCTGATTAATGTGTGTTTTATTACCCAATAATTTGCACAACATTTAGCCCATGAGGAGCTCATTTTTTAGATATATTCACAAAAGATCCTATAAACATGATAAGATTATAAACTGTGTACTGACATTGCATGCTCTTCCATCAATAATTACTCTCACGGAGGCTTGGAAGTGTGCAGACTATTTAGACTTAGTGTCCACAGCTGGTTACTACTCCACCAGTGACCCTGGACAGTAAGAAAGCATATAAAGCCCGGACCCAAACCCTGCCACAATCATAGGTCTTATAGTTGCTGTGGAAATCAGGAAACAATGGCATCTAAGAAATTTGCTGTTAAAATTATAATACAGAGAAGCTGAGCTGGTTCCAGCACCCAGAAGGAAGCTCCCCTGCTGCCATCCCAATCTCCTAGGGCAGAGAAGGCGAGCCATGTGGGTGCCAGAAGCTCCCGCCCCGACCATGGAAATGAGAAGACATGTAAACAAGCCTCAAAAACAGACTTCTGGATCACCTACAGTAACCCCAAAGGGAAAAGAGATGGAACAATCTGATACTCAACAACCTGCACTCTCTGAACTGGCAACAAAAGAGGATCTGGGAAAAATGAAATCAGAAATAATTACTCAGATAACAGCAAAGATTTTGCTCATGGTGCAAGACA